TAAAAGTTTGCTCTCTTTTTTTTGAAACAGTAACTCAGAGTCTCTACTTGAAAGAACGGAGTATTTGTTCTGCTTCCTGCCCTACCTATTGTTTAAAACAAATATTGAGAAACAAAAAATGGAAGCCAACGTATTATAAAGCAAAATATCCAACTTCTGACAAAATGCCTCTGGCTTATGTATGTTCCATAGATATTTCTAAGCACATACATCATTTAAAAAATTTAAGCAAGGATTCACATTTGGGGAAAAATAACCAATACTGTATGGAGCAGCAGTGTATTGCTGATACCTGTTGATAGCCATTTGAGTGATGACATGAATGTAGTTTCTCAATGTTTGGAGGCTTTGGGAAGCTGGATGGAGCACAACAGTCTTCAGCCTAACCCACGCAAAACTGAGTGGCTTTGAGTACTTTGACTTTATGGTAATAAGGACTTTGTATTGCAAATCTTGGATGAAGTAACACTGTCTCAGACAGACTCAGGGTACAATCTGGGAGTCCTCCTGGACTAATGACTCCTGCTTAAAGAACAGATGGCAGCTCTGGCTAAGAAAGCCTTTGCACACCTTCAAGATTTGTGCATGTTGCACCAATTCTTGGACTGGGAGGTCCTGCTCATTGTTACTCGTACCTTGTGACTTTCCGTGTGGACTACTACAATGCTCTCTACACGGGACTGTCATTGAAGAGCTTTCAGAGGCTTCAACTGGTGCAGAATGCAATAGCACAGGTAACAATGCCAGTTGCATTGTCTTCCACTCATTTCACCCACTTAAATCCTTACCTCCAACTGGAGAAGAATGCAGTGGTGCAAGTGGTTAATAGTGCTGGTTATTGATGTGTGCGTACTGTACCATTGTTCCTTGAACTGCATTGGCTGCCAGTAGACTAGGTGTAGTTAAAGTTGTTGGTTGTTACCTGTAAAACTCTTCACGGCATGGGGCCAGGTTATTTAAAGGATTGTCTTTCTTTGGTTGTTTCTACCTATCGTATCCCAGTCCAGCAGGTCCCATCTGCTAAGGAATGTAGGGTGGGGGTGGGGCCCCCCAGAAGACAAGACTTTCTGCTATAGTGCCTGCCTCTGGTAAATTCTCCCTCCAGAGATAGGGTAGCCCCCAGTCCTCCTGGCCTTTTGCAAGGCCCTAAAGAGACAACTCTGTGCTTAGGCCTGGGGCCCCGAGTATGTGAGGGAACCTGCTTCCTGACTATGTGGATATTGTTCTTGGCTGCATAATTATAATTTTTGTATATGTATTTATCATTATCTGCTGCCTAGACACATAATGAAATAGATTTTTTAGGCCCAGTACTCTTCAACATATTCATCAATGATTTCGACGAGGGGATAGATGGGGAACTCATCAAATTTGCAGATGACACCAAGCTAGCAGGAATAGCCAACGCTCTGGAAGATAGGCTTAAGATACAGAAGGATCTTGACAGACTTGAACATTGGGCGCTATCTAACGAAATGAAATTCAATGGTGAAAAAAGTAAGGTTCTACATTTAGGCAAGAAAAACAAAATGCACAGGTACAGTATATGGTATCTCGCTCAATAGTAGGGAGGTCAGAGGGACCTTGGAGTCCTAGTGGACAATCACTTAAATATGAGCCAGCAGCGTGCTGCAGCTGCCAAAAAAGCCAACACAGTTCTAGGCTGCATAAACAGGGATTGAATCAAGATCACGTGAAGTGTTAATACCACTTTATAATGCCTTGGTGAGGCCACACTTGGAATACTGCGTCCAATTTTGGTCACCACGATGTAAAGATGTTGAGACTCTAGAAAGAGTGCAGAGAAGAGCAACAAAGATGATTAGGGGATGGGAGTCTAAAACATATGAAGAACGATTGCTGGAACTGGATATGTCTAGTCTTATGAAAAAAAGGATTAGGGGTGACATGATAGCATTGTACCGATATCTCAGGGGTTGCCACAAAGAAGAGGGAATCAAGCTATTCTCCAAAGCACCTGAGAGTAGGACAAGAAGCAATGGGTGGAAACTAATCAAGGAGAGAAGCAACTTAGAACTATGGAGAAATTTCCTGATAGAACAATTAATCAGTGGAACAAGTTGCCTCCAGAAGTTGTAAATGCTCCAACACTGGAACTTTTTAAGAAGAGATTAGATAACCATTTGTCTGAAGTTGTGTAGTCCTGCCTAAGCAGGGGGTTGGACTAGAAGACCTCCAAGGTCCCTTCCAACTCTGATATTCTATTCTAGATGGCATATACATTTTAAATGAGTAAACTCTCCTTCAGTCCAGTCCTATTTTTGAAAAATGACCTGGGACAGGCTGGGTAAAGGCTGGAGCAATTTTAAAACTAGCAAAAGCTGTACAGTTCACAATGCAATTTTTGCTGCTGCGTGCACAAATAAGTTGCACACGCAGTCAACCTACAACCATAATTGAGTTTGAAGTTACGGTCGTAAGTTGTGCCAGTTAAGCACAATCATGTGACAATCAATTTTATGTCTTTTTAGCAGCAGTTAAGAGAATGCAGTAGTCGTAGAGTGAATATGGCAGTTGTTAAGTGAATGCTTTAGTTATTGTGTGAATCCATTTTAGCCAATGAGCACATTTTGCTGGAAATAGTAATAATGCTGGTTCCCATAAAAAACCATTGTAAATTAGTCACAGAACCACAGGACACTGCAAATACCAGTAGCTGTAAATGCATGCTGGTTGCCAAGCACCCAAAACTTGATCACATGACCAGGAAGGTACAGACTTAAGACCTTGAACCTGGTCATAAGTACTTTTTTGGGAGAACACTGTAACTGACTGGTTGCTGATGAGGACTACCTACACAATCAGTAGGGTGATTGTGCTCCTTTGCATTGTTTATGCTGGCTGGCAAAGTCAGAGTTTTAGTTGATACAAATCATAAGCTCTGCTGTCCTGTTAGGAGTCCCTAATCGTAAATTATCCATTTTCTAATGAGATTATTTGATTGTTTAATATAATCGGGTAAATGTGTGGCTTAGTTCAAAGCCTTTTCATCTTTGAGATACACCTTGGTTGATACCTGTTCAATGCTGTCTTTTGCACCTATACATTATACACTTTTACCTCATTTAATATGGCTTATTTCTATTTTTTTTCTATTTCCTTTGGGTTATTTCATTCAGGATTCTGTAAACTTTTCCTTTATCCCTTCTGGTTAAGTGTTTATTAAATATACTAGGCAATATTCTATATACTAAATGTGTTTTTATATTTTATTATTTCATTATTCTTTTGGTTTTAGAATATACCTCTATTCCTACTCCTCTAACATGCTAGGTGGAAAAGCTTTCAACCTAGGTGAAAAGCAAAACTTTCTGGTTACTTCATCACTGTGTTCATAAACACAGTGTACTATCATAGTATTTTTAAACTGATTATGAACATTACCTGACCATTAATGTGTGTTAACAGAGAAATTGAGACTAAAATTCAGATTTGTCCCAGTTGTGATTGTTGTTTCAACGGTGCATCTCTGCACTTTGTCTGCAACTATTTGTTACAAAGTAACCTAAGTATCATACTTGGAACATAACATCTTAATTGAGTTTTAATAACATATTCTGTGAATTAAAGTGATTATCCAAGCACACACCATCAAGGTCAACTTCTGAAGCAACTGCTTGAGGTTTCTGGATGGATGGCTTTATTCCTTTGAAGCGTTTTTGTCACACTAAGATGTCTTTTAAAGTACCCTTTTTATACACTCTAAACCCCATATTCTTGTATGTAGATATGGATGTTTATGGATACACCAATCCCTAGTATACTTTGTCTGACTAAGTCTCAGTCCCAAATCAATCTGGCTACCAGAGCCAAAAACAAGGCAGGTTCCCAGCAAGAAAATGGTGTCATTTACATGTCTCCCATATTCAACAAATGCAACAAATACCCCTTTTAAACTCAGTTGTTGAGGTTTAGATAGTGACTACCTCCTAAGTAATCAGGAGCAATGTTAAAAGGAATATTCACTATTAATCCCTCCAGCCAGTCAGTCCACCCATTTGAGACTGAGTGTATTTAGCTCTTTGGAATAGTGCGTGTGAATGACTGAAAAAGATATCCCCTCACTTGTTCGATATGGATAGTATATAGGAAGCATTTTTTTTTCTCCCCTGGTTCTCCCCTCCCCATTTCACTTTGAAAATTCCAAATCCAGAAAAGAAAATGCAGCTTAGTTAATGTTTCCATTTACCTTATTGGCATATTCATTCAAACTTGCCACAAGTTTGCTGAAATCAGTTATCAGAATTCGTATGAAATACTGAGCCAAAATTAAATCATATTATGACTTAGTATTTTTATAAGCCAGAACACAAATAATCCTGGATAAATTAATAGTTGTAATTTAACTCCTTTGCACATAACAAGCTTTCATCTAAAAGATCCTTGTTTATATCATTAAATTTAAAACAAATTTAGGTTATATGTTTTACATATATATTACCTTCTTAAGAATCTGGCTTTTCCAGTCAAAAGCATCACATCACCGTAGTGCAAAAGCTAGGCAGTGGTTTTGCAGATCTACTGCCATTCCATGAACCTATGCTGGAATTCCTTATTCAGCCTCTTAATAACCATTGTTCAAGAAAGCTCACCAATGTTGTGATCCATGCACTACCGGTAAATATATACTTATACAAAATTATTCTCCTCCTTCCGCAGGACCTCATGCCAAAATTCACTTGTTTTAACTAATGAGGGATGTTTAGATTTGAACTATTAAATGAAACTAAGGTCAGCATGTAAAATATATATTTGAGACCAATGGCAATTAAGCAATTACCACAATAGTTCAAGAGACACATAGTTGCAATAGTTTTCCTGTCTCATTACGTCTACTAACCAGTTAATAAGCAGTGTTAAATGCACTGTTTGCTGCATCTGAACACTGATTATTTTCTATTATGGATGACCATATAAATGCAGATAAAACTGCTCCAAAAGCAATTAATTGTACTATATACAAGACAAAGTTCCATTGATTAATTTGCTATATAGAAATCATTCAGTTTTATATTTGTGTTATTCCAAAACTGATATTACAATATTGTAAACAGAAGATAGGTTTTAGCATATAAATTCAAATATATACTAAGTTCAAACCAGTTTTTATGGCAAACTGTCAAATACAATACAGACATTTCCAAGGTGACTGTACCATTTACAACAGAGTTGGTTAAACTCACAATAGTTTAAAAACTTATAGCAGAGCCATGGGCATCGTTAGAGACACTTGGGGAATTATGATAGTTTTTCCCCTTTTTCCAGACTGACAGAACCCTGGCAGATATTGGATCAAAATGCTAGAAAGTGATTTGTCTTTTTCCTGAATTGGAAAACTGAATTAGTTTGTAGTTTTATTTGTGCTTTAATGCTCACAGCCATGGTCAGTGATCAGGGTCACTTAGATTTAGCTGTAGAAACATTCATGCAAGTGAAAAGCATCTCAAATGTAGTACCTGTAATTTTAAATGTTCATGCTGAAGAGAACCATTTTCTATAATGATGTTTCTCTAGCAAACAGTGCATTTTAGCTCCGCTAAATTGAGGCATAAACATTCTATCCATTGGCACTAATATAAAATGCATTTACACTTGGCAGCCCATTTCGCATCACCAAATTAGATATACAAATTCCACTTTGAAATTGACTTGGTGCATTTCAAAAATAGCTACCAAGACCACTAGGTTAGTAAAATAAATTAAAATTAAAGTATAGGAAGAGTCTAAGTAATAATGAGTAAAAGCTTCAATAATTTCTATATTTACTGCTGTAGTTTCTCCAAATCTAATTATATCCTATTTTCAGAATTATGGTCTTGCTTTCAAAATTCAAAAGAACAAAAACTTAATCTTAAATCAAAATTTCAGAAAGCTCCATACCTACACTCCAATTTAGTGCTATACATTTATTTTATTTTAGCCATGATTTAATGTTCTGCCAATTGAATCTAAAGTTTTTTCAATTTATCTTCCATGTTTTTGTACTTAAACTATCATTGTTGCTTAGACTTCTTCCCTGTTAGCTCCAGAGAACAGTAAAATCTACACAAAATTTTATTGCATTCATACAAGAGAGGGAACAACAAGGGTGAAATACAACAAATACTATGATGCAATTTTACATTTATTAAACTACAGTTCAAAGCACAAATTTACACATTCTAAATATACTAACATTGCTAACGAATTCACACTTGTTTCCCTTGATATTTCATATATCTGGGGAAAGACAACTTTACAAGACTTTCTAACAGAAATCCTTAGTATAAAAACTGTACTTGTATGTATGTAAACTGTTTAACAGAGAACCCAAGTGATGGGTTTCCATCTCAACTAAGTCATCCATTTTGTTGCATATTTTGTTTTAACTATTGAGGGATTAAATGATCTGACATTTCGGGATGTTTATTATGTAAGCTTTACTCCCCCAGTGAATTTAGTTGTAGCTGGTTTGCCTGGTCCCAATTGATTTCAAGTTTCAATAATTCATTCAAGATTGTTCCACTTTTCCTTCACTCTGGAATGTTGTGACCAGACAAGATTATAGACGAGCAACTGCAAGGCTAAATGTAGCATTAGTGCCTGTTTAAGCTGCAATAGAAAAGCCATCTTCAGAGCTCAGCTGAATGCAAGAAGGCACAAAGCAGAAATTCTTCATCAGTGTGTCAGAGATAAATCCAGCATCTTGCATCTCACACCTGAAGTGAAAATACATAGATTCAAGGAACAACATTGCAATACAGCAGGGTAAACATTCTTATTCAAAGAAATTTTGGAATATTCGAGTGATATTGTGTTCCAACTTTAAGATGAGTCATGCAAAAGCTGTCAAAAACCAAGCAAATCTATAATTATTTCCAGCCATTATGCCAGGAAGTCATTTTTATTATTTATTTATTGTAGCATATAGAAATAATTTCCTTCGAAGGAATTTTTTTTTTGGTATTTTGTGAAAAGTGATTCCAAGGATAGACTTGTAAGATTAGCTAAATGTGTATTTAGATAATCCTAAATTTCAACTTGTTTCTTGTGAAATCAGTGAGGCCAAAAAAGCTTACCTGTGAAAGTGAATCATGTTTCAAACTGAATGGAAATGTAAAGAACTCAGCATTGTAGTTACTATTCTAAAGCTGGAATCTTTTAAAAATTGATTGCTACAAAAATGCCATACTCTCCTCCCAATATAGCTTACATTGTTCAAATGTAAAAGGTGTAAAACATTTCATCAGTTTATTTAATACATGCCATATATGTATGGGGGGGATAAGGGATCCTGTCCAAAAATTGAAATATAATTGAGGAAACACATCAATTATCATTTAACTTTTGATGTAACAATGCTAGAAATCTTTTATTCTCACATAACAGAAATATACCTTCTTTTAATTTACCAACAGCAGCACAATAACATAATGTAAGCTTACCAGTTACGGATTGACATTACATAGTAAATGGGTGGCCTCTGGAAATCATTAAAAGCAGGTTGTTCACCCAAAGAACCAGAACCCATATTGTCAAAGAGCAGCCAGTCTCCAATATTCAGCTCAGGGAGTAGACAGCTTTCCACAATTTGATCAAGCTCATCACAGGATGGACCCCAAAGACTGCTTGCAAACAGAGGCTCATCTTCCTTGTATTTCTAAAGAAAAACAATTCTGGCAGTTATATATTACTCAGAACAGCAATTGTTGAGCAACTTACTTATGACTAGTGCAAATGATAGCAAAATGTAGTCCAAAGTAATTTACTGAAGACTTTTGCCTGTAGCATATAAGTGTGCCCTTACCTTGTGAACCTCTGGAATAGTAGTCAAGTTCTCAGATAGCTTGCTTCCAAAAGAACCATAAACCCCATCATTCATGTAATAAAAAAAAACTGGTTCATCGTTCTGCGTTTGTTCCACTGTAAAATAAGCAACCAAATACAAACTGCATAATAAATTTCAATTTATGGTGGTGCTTTGTTTTTAAAAGCTATAATGAATGCATGTTACATGAGTACGAAAAGAGTTAAGAGATTTAGAAAAAAGCATGAACTTACCCAAATATATAAAAAACATTTTACAACAAATGGTTAGGTAACGCATATAAAACTTATTTGTTGCTTAATACTATCTGATCACAAAGATGGGTTGCTTTTTTTCAAGTGGTCTTTTGTACATTTGCATTTATGGGAGCCACATCTCCACAAATTCATCATTAGAAACATCTGATATCAGATTTTTAGGCAGGAGGAATATGTTATGCATACTCCCGGTTCTTGTGCTTCCCCATAATAGTACTAAACCCTTTAGGTGTTGGTCAGGCTGGTCAGAAAAGGTACCTGCCAAGTGCAAGAAGTAAATGCACAGATAACTAGTTGAAAAACATAAGTAAGCAACTTATTCATCATCATCTCTGCATCCTAATATAGGCAATTGGCAAGCTTACTCAATGTTGGGCAAGAAGAACTGAAAAGAGTACAGCCCTCCCAAACAGTGTAGTTACCTGTGGTCTGTATATTTATCAAATAATGTTCTATAAAACTGGATGGTTAAAATATTGTGACTTCTTTTCATAAGCCAGTATAGGGAACACCATGAAAGGCGACAATACAATCCTGGTTGGCTTTTCCCAAAATGTAAAATTTCTAACCAGAATCCCTACTTCTGGAAGACTATGTTGCAAAAATATCACAGGCACAACATAGCTAAATTAGTTGCTTTATTGCAGAAAACAATTAAGCAATATAGTCATAGAAGATCTCACCAAGTGCAATACACAAAAATCAGGATATGTCTTTGTTTCATTCCATACAAAAACATTGCTCACTGGAATGTATTGATTTAGGAACCTTGAAATGTCTGTAGTACAACAGAAAGAGATCCTGGATCCATTGGGTGGAATACAGAGAAGAATTTCCGTAAGGTAAAGGGATTCAGATAAGCAAAATGTGGGGAAATCAATCCACTGAAATATGTGACAGTGCAGAATTGAAAACAAACTCAGCCAACGCAAAAGGTGGTACTTTTTCCCTGCCAAGGTTAAATTGCAACCTAAAAAAGACCCAATGATTTTAAGTAATCTCATGCTAGAAAATAGCTACTAACAAAAATACAGGTTTGAATCATCATGGTTAAGCCAAAGCAAATGCTTATTGTTACACAGTACTTCTTTCTCACTGAAAGGATGGAATCTGGGATTATTATATAATTGTAGGGAAGATTACAAAGGCAATCTGCTAAAGACATTACAAACTCCTTGGCTATGCAAAAGTTGATGCAGATAGTCTAAGGCATAATCAATACCAAGAAATGGAACTAGAGAATGACAATTTAATGCCCATTTTCTTTATGGTGTTTCATAACTCTGAATATTTAAGACTGATGAGATTGTGTACTGATTTGTTATTTCTTGAGATATCACAAGACCTATAAATAGGCATGTCTGCCAAGGCCTCCACTCCTGCCAAAACAGTTGTTACAACACTATCCTTATATTTTTGGATCTGTTACTTCAAGACATCTAGGGCATACACAAAACCCCCCACATTCACTATTTTATTTTTGTTCTCCAGTAAACATAGTCTATAAGTGGCCATTTTATCCCACAAATAAGAATGGTAAAGACTCAACATGCACAAAAAAGGTCAGCTGCAGCATAAATTTAGAGTCCTGTGGCATCCGACTTTGTCTTTCTTCCTTGTCTGTCAGCATGAAATGAGGATAGTTATACTGATAATCTTGCTTCCACTATAATTAGTAAGGAGGGAGTTCTGAAAAAATGACTATAATCACCCAAAAAGACAAAAGAGGCTTTCTAGTCTCCCAAGAAAAAAATAGGAATATTTTTGCCATAGCTATTAAAAGCATTTAATCAAACTAAAACTGCCAGAGCTTCTGGTGAGGGTCATGGCAAACTTGACATCCTTGAAGCAACAGGAATGGCATTTACAGTGGAATCAGCAGCCAAACTGGTCCATGCAAATCTTTCCAGATAAAGGAGAAATTCTGAGATTGCTCACTTGCACTCCAGATAGCTGCTCCTCGTGAGTAAATACACGAGTTGAGGTTTCTAGCTCATAAATTGGGCAGCTGGGAGTTTTAAGGATTTCAACCAAGCTCACAGCCTATTATGGAGCCCATTATACAGACACAAAATTGAGCCAAACCTCATTTCTTAATCACTTTTGGATGCAATTAATTTACAGCTTAAAAGGGATTTTCTAAGCAGCAGGATAAGATTCCATTTAGTGAATTCCAATAGAAAAGGTTTTAAGGACTTAAAAACTCTTGGCAAAAAGCTAGCAACAGTTATTGTAAAATATAAAATGGGTAAAGGGAGAAAGATTGTTTTTGGTGAAATTGCTTTTGAATAAATATGGAATTAAATTAGACAAATAAACCAGCCCTTTATGGGAATGTTTTTTATTTACTATTACTGAGTGCAGGCAATTGATGGATTTTACAAAAGAGAAGATAAAGATAATGTGAGTCAGACTTATAGCTGACTATAGCTCGTAGATTGTAGATAGCTATGTAGATTGTAATGCTAATTTTAACTACGGAATGCCATTAGAGAAGAAAGTATTAAAGGCACAGTATAAGGACAGAGGGAAAGTTTTCCTTTCCCTCTCTCGTTTGAGACACTTTTTGGATTACAATATTATAACGGCAACCAGAAAAGTGGCAAGAATGAAGGGGAAGATTGCTCCAACAAGCTGCAGAGAGAAGAATTACACAGGATTTGCCACAGAAAATGTTAAAGGAATATTAAATTAACTAAATCACTTGATACTAAACTGACAGCTTTTAAAACAAAATGGATGAAAGATTTGCAAAGATGAAAGACCCTGGAAAGTTATAATTATATAGTAAGAGATGAACTTATAATTGTATTTATAACTGCTGCAAAGGAAAATGGAGGCACATTCTTTTTTTTCACTTTTAGCTTTCTCATTTTTTCTTACTTTATATTAAGTTTATTTTTTAAAAAATATCTTTAATAAAATTATATTTTAAAAACCCTGAAAGATCTGCAAGACAATAAATATCAAGGACTTATCGAACCCTGAATATTTTCAATTACTGAGTCATCCAGCATGGTCAGCTGTATTTCCAGCCAAGGGCACTTGTCCTTTACAGCAATTTCTCCATATAGAGGCAACTCTCATATGAAGGAAACTGTGTTGATTGCATATAGTGGCATCTGATGAGGAAAAGGAAGGAGTATCAGATGATACAGAATCAGATTACTTTATGAGGATACATATGGGTCAGCCGAGTTTCAGTAATTCCAAGGCAGTGATCGCAAAGATGACACAGGAACCTATTACAATAGGTACAGTTGTGATTTTAATACTGCTGATCTTGAGCTACATGAAAAATCACAGATAGTAGACCAGATGAAGTGGCAGTAATTGAACAATGCTTATCAAAGTAGTTGTGGGTTTAATAGGGATCATGAAACTACACAAGTAATCAAGTGTGGAGTATAAGGATGAGGCAGAATAGAAATCTTCACAGCAAAATCAAGAAGCCAGATAAGCAACCTAACGATATGAATGAGATCCCTAATTATAGATGAAAAAGATCCAAGCACCGGAGAAGACAACTTAAGAGACCATTGTTCAATTAGCTACATAACTGCTTCTTTTATTTTGCTTTGCTTCAGAAAATATTTGAAAAATCTTTCTGGGAACAGGCCAGTACAAATTTGATATATGGCTATCAAGGCAACTGAAAGTTTCAAAGAATGCTGTTGAATCAGATAATCAGTCCCCATCTCTATCCATTCTAGAAGCAAGGGCAATAGAAGACCAGGCACACTAGCAGACATATCACTTCCAAGGAACATTTTCTTCCAAAGGAAAGGTCAAAGCCAGGAAAAGTGCTTAATTACCAATGAGATAGCCTCTGACAAGGAAGACAAGGGATAGCAAACATTAGGTGGCAAAAGCTAACTGTTGTATTTCAAGGAATTTGAAAAGAGCTTGAGATGCTATAGTCCAAATAATTAGCAGAAGTTTTGCTAAGAGTTCATTGATGCTGAAGAACAAAAATGAAGGTGTAATAATTTGGCAGGGAGGATGAGAATGAAAAGACAAAAGTAGGCAACAATTAAAAACAAACAGAATTTTCTTCCACTGAAAAAAAGACACAGAATAAATGAATGCTACTACTGCTGCAATGAAATATAGAATGTCTCCCAGAAAAAATGTCCTCAGGTACAGAAAGTGCTTGAGACTGCCATTGCCAAAGTGATGCATACATAAAATGCAAAGATGAAGAAAAATTATTTTACAAGGAAATTATTTACAGATTTAAAACTTTCAGCCTGAACTTTTTCCAAGTATGACCTAATTTTCAAGTAACTAAAGAAAACAATTTAAGGACTGTTTTCTTATTAAGCTAAGTAAATGGGCCCTTTGTTCTACCAATTACCTCCTACAAAGCTACTGAAAGAAATTTAGCTTTCTGGAAAACTTCCTATAGATTGATTCTGTCATTCCTTTATAAATGCTTATCTTAAAATACTGGTACTCTATAAACTTGGACAATCTAAAAGGGGAGTTGTATTTGACAAGCTAGGATCCAGAATAGTGATTAATCTTTACAGTTTTTACACCAATTTAAATATTTGCCAGATTTTGCTTACATTTATTGAGAAGACGGTCACCAGATTGAACAGCTTTCTTTGCAAAAATATTAACTGCTAGAGTAAATGCTGAAGAAACATAATAACATCCAGGCTCTGCAATCACAGTTACACCAGATTCTTCAGGAAAGTAGGTACCAAGCAGCGGAATGATAACACGATTAATCTAAAAAATAAAATATGAACATTTGAAAATTCTCTGCTAATTTGGAACAATCACAACTTGATAAAATTGTGGAGTCCTTGGTACTCTGAGCTATGATAAGATAAAAATATATACGCTCCCTGGTGGGAAATTAACTGAAGAAAATATGACTATCACAACTTACTCTTCATGAAGAAAACATCGATCAGTGGTTATTAGTATTATGACTACATGCTAGATAGATCCAGCATTTGAGGTGGAGAACATAGTTATGTGACACGGTTGTTGCTTAAGGCAGTAATTGATTACCAAGATTTTGTCTGCTCCTTTCAAAGTTGCAGCCCAGAGATTGCACCAAAGCCATGCATGTTCAACAGAGTAGCTTGCTGCTTTACCCAGTCATTCTACACACATTGTTTTAAAGAGATCTCAGAGCAATACATGGCAGCTACCTTACACAATGTTCTTGCCAGCTCTTGGCTATCAACCATTATTTAGCCATATATAACTAGCAGTTCCTGACCCTGAGCAGTTTTAATAGCAACCAATTATTCTTGGGTTTTTTCTCAACAACCATATTATATAAACTTCTAGAATGATTTTCCAATCAGAATAAACAAAAGTTGGAGCCCATCAACAAACTGATAAAAAATAATGGCTTCCCTTTCTGGCTTATTCTACCTGTACATTGTTAAATCACACCAGTTTCACATGTTGTAATGATGGAAAACAATGAGATTCTAGTTACCTTTGAAATAAATGTGATACAAGCCAATGGGAAATATTAAAAACTCTATCACACAACTATTTATAAAAGCATACTACATTTTGTCATACTGCAGCAATTCTAAAAAATGATTCTACAAATCTTTTGCTTTTTTAGCTGCGATAACCCACACATCTTGAGTCCAACAATTATTGTCCACAACCAGATTTACTTCCTTTTTGAAGGTGCTATAAAATTAGATTTTGTTCATACAAATTACAAAATACATATTATTTTATTTAATGGTTGCATTTTGTCCAGAGTCACTTATTATGAAAATGCGTGGCCATACAAATTGGATAAATAAGCAAACAGTCCATGCTGTACTGTAAGTGAAACTTCAATATTTGTTGATAGTTGCCAAAGTAACCTTATAGTTTACATTCATAGTACTGTAAACAGAAGTTGAACTGAATAAAATGACAGGCCAATTTCTATAAGAAAAGAATCTCCTTTATTGGAAAAGGATCTAATTTCATACCTCTTCCAGATCAAGTTCATGATCAGTGAAACCACCACCAATGTTCAACATATTCAAGGTAAAGCCAAATTCTTCCTAAAATAGAAATGCAGAAAGTTTGCAGTTTATAACACATTATTCTTTTCAAATGTTTACTCTTCATATATATAACTCCTCAACTAAGTACCGTTACATTGCTACAAGCATTATTATTATTATTATTATTATTATTATTATTATTATTATTATTATTATATTATTGGATATACATCAATATTATATGAACAGTGAGGCATCTGGGTATCATTCATTTAAATACAGATAATAGTAATACTAATATTTGTTATATTAATCATATTTATGTAATCGTGGTATTATACATATTTGTATTAGTGTGTGTTCATTGTTTAGTTATTTTTGTGCGCCATTCTAATAACAATCACAATATCATTTAAGCCTACATAGTGATATCATCTTTCAACATCTAATCTTTACATCTAGCTATTACTTTTAGTATATTATATAAAAATATGTATAATGATATTCCCCCTTGATCTTGTTTCTACCTCTATTCTAGCTCTCAATAAAGCCAATCTTATATTAAACAGCATTCCCTTTCTAACCATCATCTCTTGTCCGCTTTAGTATTTCAATTCTTATTCATTTTTTGACTTGCGTTCCAAACTCCTCCCTTGGGTCTTTATCTCTGTCTACATCCTTCCTACTTAACATAAATATTTCTTCCATCTCTGCTCTCTTTTGCTGCCATACCTCCAGAGGATCTGCTCAAGCCCCTATCTTTTCTTCAAAAATATCTTTCTTTATATCCAATCCCATTTTTTGATCTCTTAATATATATTGTCCAGTGGTGAAATCCAAAGTTTTTTACTACCGGTTCTGTGGACGTGGCTTGGTGGATGTGGTGTGGCTTGATGGGCGTGGCACCCACCCCATCATGGGAAGGATACTGCAAAATCTCCATTCCACCCCACTCCAGGGGAAGGATACTGCAAAATTCCCATTCTCTCCCCATTCCTGGGGGGCAGATATTGCAAAATCTCCATTCCCACCCCACTGGGGCCAGCCAAAGGTGGTATTTGCCAGTTCTCCAAACTACTCAAAATTTCTACTACCAGTTCTCCGAACTGCTCAAAATTTCCGCTACTGGTTCTCCAGAACCTGCTGGATTTCATCTGATATTGTCCCTTATTTGATTCATAAGTCTTTATTGTCCTCTCCTGTTGTTTTCTCCTTCTTCTCTTCTTGTTTTATTTGTTGATTTATCTGTTCTGTCTCTTCCTCTGGTCTTTCTATTAATCTCCTCTATTTCCTGTGTTTTATGATCTTTATTCATTGTCCCTTGTTGAACATTTTCTGATTTCCCCATAATGTCATGCATTAAGTCTTTTATCTCCCTGTGGTTCTTTATCAATATCATAAGTACTTTGGAGCATCAACACCATTTCTTTTTGAAATCCACTCATCTCCCCCTGATGCAACATCTTGTCTTATTTTGATAGGTCCAAATATTGCTCAATAGCCTGTCAGTAGTCTGTCACCGCCCCAAAGACAAAATGTCTATGATATCAGAAAGCCAGTTTAGAAACCATTTGCTCAATATTAAGAGTTGCTCCTCAAGGGAATGCAATAGTTATAGTTGTGTCCTACAGTTAGTCAATTAGTTCCATTTAGGTAATCCAGGAAATTTTCCAAATGTCTCCTTAAATCCACTCTGTAAATTCAGTTATATATCTTGGCATTTAAAAATTGCTTTCTTTAGATAAATCGCTTTCCATAATCTCACAGTTAAACCTCCAAAAACCATGAAGTAGACAGATATACAGTAGAACAGTAGATAGCACAGCAATCCTCCAGGTGTTATTTCCACTTTTTTTTCCCCTTTGTCTTATCAGTACTTCATCAGCAGGAGTTTATTATATATTCCATTCACCAGTAGATGGCGCCTTCAGCTTAAATTTCAATTTTGCACAAAATCTGACATTTATTTCAGTTTTTTGCAAATAGTCAATATTCAGACAAATAATTCCAGCATTTTAAAATGTCTTACCAAAACATTGCCAATAAAGAAAATTCAATCTTTCTATATTTTAAAGTTTTTGCGCTCTCTCTTTAGTTTCTTTTCTTTCAGGTCTATAATTTTTCTCTCTGTAATTATTCGCCGCTTTGACAATCATTTCAAAGAGTCTCTTTTCCAGGGTTTATTTTCTTTGGGGTTAGGTTCTAGGTAAAAAAAGAATCACCTCCAGTTCCAATTACTGTTCATCTATACCGCTCAGGCACATACTTTGTTTCTTCGAAAAGCCCCAGCTTTTCATCGTTGGATGGGAGGGAATCCCTGGGTCCAGCTGGAGAGCCACAGCTCTCCGCGACCTGCAGAGTGCCCTTCCTTTCTTTGTCATCCTCAGAGGGTGACTTTAGCCCCTTGGGGGGGCCCTCCAACGAGGAGGATTCGGTGTGAGTTCGCGGAGCCCCGCTCCTTACATCTGATCTTGACGCGATGTCAAACCAGAAGTCACTACAAACATTTCTATAGTTTAAAAAAAGAACTAAAACTTAACAGATGTCAAATAAAAAGAAAAATAACTACCTATATTAAGTATGAAACTAATATTGTAAATATTGTAGCTTGGATCCAACAAATGGCTAGTGGAACTCCAGTCACAGCATACAGGTTTCTCATTTCTTACTTTCTATTGTACTACTTCCTAGTGCACCCTGAAAACCATTTCTAAGGCTTGGACAACTTCCTGAAAGATCTCACTTGTGATCTGTGACTTTATAACAGGAAAAACATCTTCTTTTGTGCACTCAGATGTGCCTTTCAAAATAGCTATCAACCACTGAACCCAGTCATTGTAACAGAAAAAAACCCCATGTTTAATGTAGAAATGTGACATTACCATAAATTTTAAATAAAACAAATTAACATTTAAAAAAAGTTTCTTGTAGGGAAGTGTAAAACTTTCTATGCTCTGTGCACACAACAGCCAATATGGTGTGTGTGCATTTCTGAACTGGAGCATAACCATGGCCTACACCAGCACAAAACTCTCATATCCAAGCCTAACTATTTTAAGATGGGAAAATGAGGAAACGGCAAAACCACTTAATAGCAAAGAGGAAACAGAGAAAAGAAAAGCTTGGAAGATCCTGTCCCCCAATAGCAAGATATGCTGTACTTGAAATCTAGGGTAGTGTGGCACAGTGACTCTTAGAACCCTTGACTTCAAATATAGTATATATAGCTGGGAAGCCAGGGAAAAGGGCAGGCAGGCTGATAGTACGCCTCCTCCTTGTATTTGCTGCCACTATAATATCCAACTAGTCCAGTCACTTGAGAGGGACAGGAAAACACACAGGATATACTGCATTTTAATTCAAACTGACAACAATTAAAACGAATAAGAAAGAGGCCATGTGGACACGAAGGAAGCAAGCCATCCCCTACTAGTTCCCTTAAACATCTCTTGAATATTTTTTTTTCATAACACACTCAAAATGTTTCTGTTTTAGTTTGGACAAACCATGAGTTACTCAGTCCAGAATGGTACAGCCAATCTTCCAAACACATTTCTCACTCTGGACAAATTCCTAGCTTTTTATATCAAGAAGATCTGAACTTACAGATACATATACTCAAGTTTTAGTGTACTTACAGCCATATCAAATACACAACGAGCATCAGAAATAGCATCTTTGTATGCTTGAGATTCCATGCAAGGGTTTGACACGTGAAACCTTTTATAAAAAAAAAAGAACTAGAAGTTACATGACGTAACTTTGCATTGTTACAAAGAAGTTTTAGCTTACATTAAGGTACAGTGTACAAAAGATATCTTTTAATTTCTCAAATCCATCAAATAATGTAATAGCTAAAATATTAATAAAAAAAGAATATTGTGTAAACATAAGTTAAGAAGTAATTAAACTAAGTATCAGTGTGGGTATTGTTTTTCAGTATTTTTTTTTCTCCACAATTCAGTTGGGCATTTCTCCTTCTCTCACAATATGAAGAAATGATCTGGTACCTTTTCACAACTACTTTACAGGTATACTTAACTAAGATAATTGCTTCAGCTACACATAATTTTCACAGTGGTCAAGGCCATTTTTTCTTTAAAAAATAGCTTTTTTGGGAAATAAATATTCTTTATTTTTATTTAACCATTTCCACTTATCAAAGCCATTCTTCTAAACTGCTAACAAAAATTGCTGACTTAAGATCAAAATATTTTATCTTGCAAGTAAATATGAAGATCATATTTACATAACACATAGTATAGGTCAGTGATGGTGAACCTGAGTGCCGAAAAGGGAGCACGCGTGCACCTGGGCCACAATCCAGAAGAGGAGCTGCCTAGGGCACTTGCGTGCACCTGAAAATGAACTTCTGGTTTCAGCCAGCTGCTCTTCCGGGTTTCTGATGTGCATGTGCACGCAACGATCAGCTGGCCAGCGTGCATGCTCACGCAGGAAAATGGAAGACCAACTAGAAGATCTTCTTGTTTCTGGCACTGCCGCATGCAAAAAAGCCAGCTGATTGTCACGTGCGCATGTGCCCCAGAAACCCAGAAGAGGAACAGGCAACACCGCGTGTGCCAGGCAACATGGCTCCACATGCCACTTCGGCATGCGTGCCATAGGTTCACCATCATGGGTATAGGTGATGAATTGCCAAGAAAAAAAAGCTTCATTAACAAGATGCATGAAGAATGCTGAAGAATAATTGAGACTAAATGTTTTAATCCCAAATCTAATAGTTTGCAATTTTTCTTTATAAATTAACTAGCTTTGAAGCAAGAAACCACTTTTCTTTCGGTACCATGAATGCCTTCAATTTGCTGCTATATATAAAGTACATTTCTGTAAAAAATTAGTATACACAAAAAGCTATATAAGTGATTCCTGCTGTAAGTGCTTATTTGCAAGAGTTTATCCTATGAAGGAATGTTATGTGCATTTTCTCAACATACATTGAAATTTTTGCTCACCCTTGCAGTCTTAATTTTAATTTTACATGTATTCCTAATGCTTTCTTTCAATACTGATGACAGGAAGGAGTTGAGAAATATTACAGGTCTACTCACTTAACACCAACTATTTGGACATTCAGCTCCTTAGCACATTCCATGAGATGACGACAATTCTTCAGGGTAGTGCCAAACTTCATAGTCATCTCTTCATCTCCATTTATGTCTTCTGTGGCAATATGAAGTAAGAGCCTAAGAGAAGGGGAAGATGATTGGGGCACAGTTGGTTTACAGCAGCATCAGCACATGTGAAGCCTGAAGACTGTCAGAAGCATGTTGATTATGATGTCATTACTCCAATTCTCTCGACGACGAGTCATGTGAACCTAATAAAAACAATCCTGTACAGAGAGAAAACTACCAATTAGGGCCTAAAACATGGAGTCAGAAAAAACATGGGGGGGGTTGGAAATGCAGCTGCTAAAGACTGTTGTAGCAGAAAGTCTGTTGAAGGCTGCAATGAAAAGCCATTACACCATAGTACAATCATAATCCAAGTTCCTTTAAAAATATATGTTAAATATGGTACACTGCTGGATACTGAAGCAAACTGAAGAAAGTATCTTTATACATTTCCTATAATTATGGACAAATATGAGTGCTTACTTTCACTAAAACCTAAATAAACTGGTGGAAATTCAAAATTTCTATTCCTTCCGGTCTCTAAAAGAAAAGATCTATTTGCAAACTGAGTATCAGTTAATAGTCAGAATTGCTCTTAGACATTGGAGTAATATATTTATTGTTGCAGGTTTATCATAATCTTCTCCAAGAATTGGTGTATATGTACCTCCAAAAATAATCGTATTGTCTGTTTTCCTATTAACACAGCCTACATAAGTCACTACATAGGCAGTTTGCCAAATATAATTTTTGGAGTATTATAATATTAAAAGAGTGGTCAACAGCAAATACAGATTTTCCATAAACTCATGCAACCAAATAATGTCCACTATTCTTTTTAATTCAATTGTTTGATCTTAAAGTGCTATGCTTCAATATCTATCAGTAACATGGGACAAAATAAAACATACCTGACATTTATAAATCATTATCTGAATACATAGCTACCCTGTTTCCCCCAAAATAAGACATCCCTTGATAATAAGCCCAATCAGGCTTTTGAGCGCATGGCAATAAGGCCAAGAGCTTATTTCAGGGTTCAAAAAAAAATAAGACAGGGTCTTATTTTTGGGGAAACATGGTATATTACAACTATACTTTTATGCAGAACTTGAAATTAGAAAAAAAAATGTCTCTATTGCCAAACTCATTTTTTGATCCTTTGTATAACAAAAGATACTTTAGGAACTCTATACAACCAGAGCAAGGCAAGTAAGACAAGCAGGTTCTTTTTTTAAAAAAAAATACTATTTCCAATGATCACATACTTACCTCTAAAAGGCTTATCTCTTTTAGATAATCCTTCTTTCATGCTGCTGCTATCCCTGTAACCTAGAAGCAAGCTTGATGTGCATTGGTGGTGCAGCACCATAATTCTATCACACAGTGAGCCATTCCAGATTTGTTCTTGATTTTCCCCACTGAAACTTTCTGGATGCTAAAGGGATCTTGAGGCAATTTTCACAGATGGTCATCTGATCAGAAATTCGATTCATGCCAGAGTCCCAAGCAATGTAGGGATATATACATATAATATAAATTTGTTTCTTATTCTTGACTGCCTACATAATCTTGACAGGAACAACTTCTGTGTCAAGGAGTTTTAAGGTATGTTGATAAAGTATTATCAATAAAGATTAGTACTTTTTAAAAGCAGTTCATAAAAAGAAACTGAATGGATCAAAAAATTACTAAATTCTTAATAATCATCCATTTTAAAGTGGAAAATGTAAAGAGATGCATGGTAGAACTGTAAGTAAATATTACTATACAAGAAATACACTTTAGAAATATATCTTTTTTTACTTGACTCCCACATTAAAATTAATAAATTTAAGCTTACTTTGCATTTGAATGGTTTCTAGCAATTTTCTTTAATTCTAATTCATTATCACATGTCAAGATGTTTACTCCAATTTTTGCTGCATATTTTATTTGAGAAGCTTGCTTGCAAGGACTGGTGAATATAATGTTTTCAGGAGAAACACCCAAGTCTTGAACCAATGCCATTTCAGTCTGAAACAGAAAATATATTGTTTTTAAATCACTTAATCTTAGAAACAAAATTTTAGAAATCAATTGACTAAAAGTTAAGAATAAATAAATTTTCAATCACAAACATCAACTCATCCATGAGCTTTGTAAAGAAAGGCTTCTAAAAACAAAGTGCCACCATATAGATAAAGGTTCCCCTCGCACATATGTGCTAGTCGTTCCAGACTCTAGGGGGCGGTGCTCATCTCTGTTTGTAAGCCGAAGAGCCAGTGCTGTCCGAAGACATCTCCGTGATCATGTGGCCGGCATGACTAAACGCCAAAGGCCCATGGAACGCTGTTACCTTCGTACCAAAGGTGATCCCTATTTTTCTACTTGCATTTTTTACGTGCTTTTGAACTGCTAGGTTGGCAGAAGCTGGGACAAGTAACAGGAGCTCACCCCGTTACATGGCACTAGGGATTCATAACCGCTGAACTGCCAACCTTTTGATCGACAAGCTCAGCATCTTAGCCACTGAGCCACCATATAAATTGCCTTATATCCAGAGGCCAATTAATCTGTAAAACTTTAAGAAGAAACATTTCCTCAGATTTATGTCGGTGAGGTAAGCATTATCTAGAAACTAAGAGAATGAGAAGAGGAACACTGAAGACTTACTTTATTTGAGCATGCAAACCCAGTTCCAAGAGCTGATAGTATCTCGAGTACACCAGGAGTAGAATTACATTTTAGGCTGTAAAACGGCTTTATTGGTGCCATCACATTCTGCCAGTGAATATGTTGCTTGATCAAGTTTCCCAGATCGCCAATAAAAAAACTATTTTTTCCAGTCTATAAAGGAAGTATTTTAATCAACAGTTAACAATGAGCAATCTTTAGTGACTAACCAACAAATTTAGAGAACATTTGTCATTTTCTCTTACTGCCTCAAAATGGTTGGGTTTTTTTCATTTTATTTTAACTACACATAACTCATAAAAATATGATTTATCAGAACACATATGAAGCTGTAAGATTTATATATGTAAAAGTAAATATAATGGGAATGGGATGTGATAACAGCTTACAAGGGTATGTTCATAAATGTAGTTGTCAATGACATCTGCAATGTTCATTCCTTCATCCAGTAAGCCAATGGAGTAGTTTGCATCCTCAAGAAATCCTTTCATCTCAGCCGTATTCCGCAAAGCCGACAGTCATAAACCAAGAAACACAAGGAACAGGCCACAAAGCCTTAGAGCTGGATCCTTAAATTATGCAACAAACTGTTAAAAAAAAAAAGTAATTCAAGCCCATTTTAGTTTGGATTATATATGGATAGCCCCTTCATGTGGAACATTACTGTTCTGAAGAAAGATATTATAGACTCATGTAGCAAAAAAAGGATTTAATATCTGTCCCTTCCAACTTTATTATTCTATGTCTGTATCTTCAATTTTTAGGCTGTAGAAGAAATATCACATACTTAAAATAACTACCATAGATAATGTTCCAAATTCTCAAAATAGCTATTTGCCTTCAAGAAAATAATCATTTGAGTTAAGGAGGCATTGATAAGTGTAACAAGGAACTTTAGAACCAGGTGGTCAAGCTGTCAGCATCTTCTTAACTCAAATTGTAATTGTGCAGCCGTAGTGCGAGTTCAGAAAAACTTGCAGGTTGAAGTTCTGACCAGTGCAATACATAAGGCCACTCTTGTTTCAAAGTACTTTTTTGGCTCCATTTATTTAGAAAAATTGCATATTCTCAAAAGAAAAGAAAACAATATTACTCTTTGTTATTATTTAAATTTCTCATTGGGGATTTAAAAAAATTAAAGTCAATCTACTTTAAAAATCCAACCCCCCTTATTGGGAGAAATAAAACGTTCCTCAGCTTTAGCTTCCACTTTCCCAGTCTCCTAGCTTACTATCGAATGATGTAGCCGTCTCCAGTGGTTTTGTTTCTTCCAGAAATGTAAAGGTCATCTGCATTCACAATTATATAATTCAGATGCCTAACTTAGATAACAGTGATTAGGCTACAACCACAATCATCCTACATAATATAGAAATAGTCTCTTTTCTATAGCCATCAATGGAAGGAGAAAGCTGAAAACATATTAATGGGGCTTGAATATACAATCAGACAAGGCAATGGTAATTAATACTCTGTTGCCAGTAAATTAATATTTAATTGACTTTTCCCTCAATCATTTCAGAGTAGAACTTGAACAGAAACAATGTGGTAGGTCAACTCGAGCAGATACTGCATTTCCAGAATGATTAGCAAATATTAGCAATCAAATTATTCAAGACAACCTTGGGAAACTTTGCTATTATAATAGCAGGTATTTAGTTTACTTTTGTTTGGACAAGAAGAGCCAGCACTAACATAATATGATTACTCAGTCTTATGAAACAGTTAAATAAGCCCATATCTCATAGGATCTTACAACATGTTTTTTCTTGACAGTTTACCTGGGTGTTAATGATTTAACAGAGATGTATCAAATATTTTGCAGACAAACTATTGTATAGCAAGCTACAAGATTATACCTTTTTTCTTTTGAAAAAAAAACATTTTGTGTTTAATGTTGAATTTAAGGATTACCATCCACTTTAAAAATATGTATTCAGATAATTTAGTTAACAGAGCCAGTTTGGTTATGTTTTTATGGCATCAAGCTAGAAACATGGGAGATCATGAGTTCTAGTCCAATCATAGGCAGGAAGCCAACTGGCTGACCTGAGGCTAGTCACTTTTTCTCAGCCCTAGCAAGAAGACAATGGCAAACCATTTCCAAAAATAACTGCCATGAAAATTGCAGAGACTTGTCCAGGCAGTTTCCAAGATGGGGCACAACTGAATGAAAGAAACTAGAGAGTTGGGTTGATATAATGATTTAAGGCACCAGGCTAGAAACTGAGTTCTAGTCCTGCCTTAGGTAAAGATTTCCCCTATCCAGTTCAGGGGGTGGTGCTCATCTGTTTCTTAGCAGAGGAAGCCACCATTTTCCAAACCATCTGTGGTCATATGGTCAGCATGACTATATGCAGAAGTGCATGAAAAGTCCCAGTGAAGTGGTACTTATTTATCTACTCACATTTACATGCTTTCAAACTGCTAGGTGTGGGCAGAAGCTGGGGCAAGTAATGGGAGCTCACCCTATTGCATGGTGTTCAGGTCTCGAACCTGGGCTGCCATCTTTCCAGGTGATAACCTCAGCATCTTTAATTGCTGAGCCATCGCACTCCTGCCTTAGACATGAATCCAACTGGGCTACTATGGTCCAGCCACTTCTCAATCATCAGAAGACAATAGCAAATTATTTCCAAGAATCTTGCAATGAAAACTGCAGGGATTGGGCAAGGCATTTGCTATGAGTCAGGAAAGTTGTCAGATCAAAGTATTATGTGTATGTATGTGCACCGTAAGTCTACAGTAACTAAGAGACAATTAAGCAGGGCTGTAATTGTGTGGACAGGAGAAATCCATGAACGCCACTATGCCTAATAGTACTAGCAAAAGATGGACCCACATGGTGTAGTCTCTGCCAAGGTTCAGGGATACTGTAGCTGCAGCAGCTTCATGGCTAGATGTTTTAATGTTCTTTACTGGTTTTAATATTTTTATTGTTTTAAATGTTTTTTTAAATTTTTAATAGTAATAAGTTTTGAACTTTAATATTAATAAAAATGTACACTTAGAAGACTGTTGATAAGGCTATAACACTAATTTTTGAAATAAATGCAGAGTTTTACTGAATTATGACCAGTTAAGATTATATCAAAATTTGACAACAGAGAACAACATTATGTGATCAACTTAAAAATAACATTTGATTTATTGTTGTTCAGATAGCTGTGTACTGAGCTTAGAAATCAGCTATGATCAACACTTACATGGACAAGTTAGGAGATGGAACCCTACTATCATCAGCTAGGTTCCCAAGGTGGCTCAGCGTTGAAGTCGAACTGTTCTCGATAAAGCACTTCTCCTAAACCCTCTGGATAGTTGTAAACTTGATCAGAGAGCTTGCCCTATGAAGAAAACCAAATATTCATAGTCAATTCAGAAAATCCAAGTACACAAAACAAATATTCCCTTATGTTGATTCTAATACATTGGCATGCTATTTAATTAAAATTGTTCAATTCACAAGTTTCCCAAGGCCCATTTTTCAAAAATAAATTTCAAACACCACTATACAGCTTCAAACATCTGGCCCAACATCATGATTTCTTCCCATGTCCTCACATAGCCCCCCATGTCATAAAAATATCAGGAAACCTGACTATATCTATCATCTGTTTCAAAATTTATGGTCTAAAGTTATCTCATAAGTCTATGGAAAAAACAAACACCAAAAAATACATTTTTGAGGTGAAACGAAGAACTGAGCAACAGTATCTATTCTGAGTCATAAACATGTTTGTTTTTAATAAAATTTGACTTTTTAAAGATCAGTAAATAGGAGCACATTCTTGCCCATATTGGCCATGTATGCAAATTCCACAAACGACTAATTTATGATGCAGGGTAACCAAATCCTATGGATACCAAAATCCCTCCAGCAAAATTGTGCAGTGGATATATTGGGGATGGTATCTAAACTACTATAAAATAAAATATAGCAGGATACAGAGCTTAACTAAGCTTAAGATTACCAAGATTTGAGCAAAAAATAACCCATGTGAACACACAGGAATCTATGTTTGACTAATAAGCGTAATGAAAAATCTGACTAAGCAAGCAAGACTAACGAAAGAAGCACTAGTTTATTAAAAATTGATAATGGATAACAACTGGAAGTATATGAGGAGTGAGATCTAATAATTAAATCCAGATAGACCATTTTGATGGAAGTGGAATGAATGTGACTGGCCATCCATTTTTGCAGTTCCAACAGGTAAATTCCATAATAGAAACTAGTTCAATCATTTTTAGTGAGAGCAACTGGGCAGCAAAGTTAGGTTTATACAGCCAATTTCTCTCCTGTCTGTTACCTGTAAACGAAGCATTACTAACTAAAGCAGCTGCTATCAGTTGTGCCGTACTGATGCAAGCTTTTACAGGATTTTAGCATAGGCTGACATAAATAAATTGTGCTTTGTGGATGGGACAATATATGTTAAATGCCAGAGGATCCATTGCAATTCTGCTAAGGTAGTGGTAGTCCACCTATCTATCTCTGTAGTGTAATGATCCAACAAAAGGAATGGGTTGTAATTCCTCTCTCTGGTAGCAAATTATGTTCACACAAGCACCACAGGAATAGGAACACTAGGTGGAGGGATGATGTGAATGAAGATTGGTCAGTGACATTACATAATTCTTTTCATTATTCTATTTTCTATTTACCTTCCTCTTTTGCCTATATTGATTTCACATTGGAGCCTGCCTTTCCTTTCTCCCATTCAATTATAAGACATTCTCAACTGTGCTTGGCTTCCAAGTCTAGGCAAAACCAGCCGGATTCTGTACTCCTACCTGCTAAAATGTTAGTAATATTCTTTGAGCTATAAATGCAAATGTAATTAGAAGAGGGCAATATCTGCAATATCTGTGGAAGGACCTGGAGATCATTCCAATGAGGAAAGGTTGCACTGACTAGATAAAAGCTCAGAAAAAATTATATCTATAGCTTAAGCTATTAATATGAATAAATATATCCTATCTAAACAGAAAGATGTGAGCAAATGGGCTGAAAATAGGTTTAGATTTAAACATTTGGAATAATCATATGCACCACCACTGAGTCTCCCTCCAGTTCCTCATACTGCTTTTGCCCCCATCATAAAAGTTTTGGATAGTCTTCCCAATTCACAATGGAGGTATCTTCAAATTTAGGCATAGAACATATACTCTGGCTGCCTCAAAGTCTCCCGAGTTGCTTTCTTAGTTGATGGAATCCATGACAGAATTAACATTAAATTTAATAATAAATAAACATACCATAACATACTTCTATCAAAAGCTCAAATATTGAATCATATCATATGGTTATACAGTAGAATAGAATAGAATAACAGAGTTGGAAGTGACCTTGGAGGTCTTCTAATCCAATCCCCTGCCCAGGCAGGAAACCCTACACCACTTCAGACAAATGGGTATCCAACATCTTCTTAAAAATTTCCAGTATTGGAACATTCACAACTTCTGCAGGCAAGTTGTTCCACTTATTAATTGTTCTGTCAGGAAATTTCTCCTTAGTTCTAAGTTGCTTCTCTCCTTGATTAGTTTCCACCCATTGCTTCTTGTTCTACCGTCAGGTGCTTTGGAGAATAGTTTGATTCCCTCTTCTTTGTGGCAACCCCTGAGATATTGGAACACAGCTATCCTGTCTCCCCTAGTCCTTCTTTTCATTAAACTAGACATACCCAGTTCCTGCAACTGTTTTTCATGTGTTTAGCCTCCAGTCCCCTAATTATCTTTGTTGCTCTTCTCTGCAATCTTTCTAGAATCTCAACATCTTTTTTACATTGTGGCAAGATCCTTCTGTATCTTAAGCCTATCTTCCGGAGTGTTGGCTATTCCTGCTAGCTTGGTGTCATCTGCAAATTTGATGAGTTCCCCATCTATCCCCTCGTCAAAATCATTGATGAATATGTTGAAGAGTACTGGGCCTAAAATAGAGCCTGGGGTATGCCACTACATACCTCCCTCCATGTAGATGGAGTTCCATTGAGGACTACACGTTGAGTGCGGTTGGTCAGCCAGTTATGAATCCATCTGGTGGTGATGCTGTCTAACCCACATTTTTCTACTTTATCTAGTAGTAGGTTATGGTCTACTTTATCAAATGCTTTACTGAAGTCCAAGTAAATTATATCAACAGCATTCCTCTGGTCCACTAATTTTGTCACAGTCAAAGAATGCAATAAGATTAGTCTGGCATGATCTGTTTTTGACAAACCCATGTTGGCTTTTGGTTATTACTTTGTTTGCTTCTAGGTGTTCGGTGAGTCGTTGCTTGATTATCTTTTCCAGAATCTTCCCTGGTATTGAGGTCAGGCTGACAGGTCTGTAGTTTCCTGGATCTGTTTTTTTTCCCCCTTTTTTGAAGATGGGAACTGCATCAACTCTTTTCCAGTCCTCTGGCAGTTCCCCTGTGTTCCAGGATCTTTGAAAGATATAGTTCAGTTGTTCTGAGATCTCGTCTGCCAGTTCCTTCAGAACTTTGGGGTGTAATCCATCTGATCCTGGTGATTTGAACTCGTCTAGGGTAGACAGGTGTTCACCTCTCATTTTTTTCTCTATTTTAACTTGTGTTCCTAATCTGTTTTTTGTGGTGCTGTTTTTGATAGGTTGGACTGTTTTTTCCTTTTGTGTAAAGACAGATGCAAAAAATGAGTTAAGTAGTTATGCTTTTTCCCTGTTGCTTGTCACTTTCTCCCAACAATGGGCCAATTGTTTCCTTGACTTTTTTCTTGTTTTTAACATGTTGGAAGCTTTTTTTGTTATTTTTTACTTTTGTCGCAAGCCTGTGTTTATTGTGAGCCTTAGCTTTCCTCACTTCATCTTTACAGGCTTGGGCTATTTGCTGATATTCTGCCTTAGTTATGTGCCCCCCTTTCCACTTTTTATACTTGTCCTTTTTGTCTTTCAATTTGTCAGAGAGTTCTTTATGCAGCCATGCTGGTTTCTTTTGAGCTCTATTATTTTTCTTCTTCATTGGTATTGTGCTAGACCGGGCTTTTATAATTTCACTTTTCAAAATTTCCCAAGCTTTTTGAGTTGTTTTCCCCTTGAGAATTCTCATCCATGGAATCCTTCTCAAGCTCTAAGTTTATTGAAATTAGCTCTCTTAAAGTCCAAGACTTTAGTTTGACTTTGTTCTACTACTTGTGTTTGCATAATGTTGAATTCCAATATTGCGTGATCACTTGCCGCCAAGGTTCCTGTAGCTTCAACACCTTCTATCGTTTCGTCTCTGTTAGTGAGAATTAAGTCCAATATGGCTGATCCCCTTGTTCTGTTCTCTACTTTTGGGAAACAAAGTTGTCTGCTAGGTTTGTTAGGAACCTGTTGGATCTTCCACTTGGTGCAGAGTTTGACTCCCAGTTGATGTCAGGGTAGTTAAAATCCCCCATTACTATTGTGATGTGCTTCCTACATACCTTAGTTAGCTGACTAGCAAAAAGTTCATCTACTTCCTCTGTTTGGTTGGGTGGCTTATAATATAGACCTATGGCAATGTCATTTCCACTCCCCCTTCAATATTGACCCAAATGCATTCAAGATAATTTTCATCATTGTTGTGCTCTATTTCTGTAGACATGTAGTTATTTCTTATATATAGTGCAACCCCACCTCCTCTTTTATTTGGTCTATTTCTTTTAAATAATTTATATCCCTCTAGCTGTATGTTCCATTTGTGGGTTTCATCTCACCAATATCATATCTGCCCTCATTTACTTGAATTTCTAATTCACCTTGTTTATTCCTCATACTCTGTGCATTGGTGTATAGACATTTGAGTCCATTTTGATTGACCCTGTGTTTACTGTCTACATAACATGTGTTGTGCCTGACTGCCCCTTTCTTGCCACCTGTTTGATTAATGCACATGGTATGGCACTCGCTATTAAATCCTTGGTTTTGCTTGACAGCAGGGCTGATAATCTTACCCGCATAGATCCAACATCTATGTTACATGCTCTGATAACCCTATTAATTTTGGATTGCTGGGGACAGAAATGTTCTGTATCAATTCTCTGTCCCCGCTGTTCAGTTTAAATGTTTATCCAGAAAATCTGTGAATTTATTGCTAAGTAACTCAGTCCCTTTCTTTGATGGATGCAATCCATCTCTTTTGTTTGTTTTTCATTGGACCAGTTGCAGACATCATGACTAACAAAACCAAAGCCTTCCCTTCTACACCACTCCTTTAGCCACACATTAAACTCTGCTACATGCTGGCCTTTCTCTTTTCGTTCCTTTTATTTTATTATTTTATTTTATTTTATTTTATTTTATTTTATTTTATTATTTTATTTTATTTTATTTTATTTTATTTTATTTTATTTTTATTATTTTA